ATGATTTCAAAATATTGCAAGTCAGGATAACTTAGTCATGATTTTATTTGTGGCAGCCCCTCATCCTTGTGTGATCATTTTGTTGTGTTTATTCGATGCCTCAGGCTTTTCAAGTGCTTTCATACATATCAGCTCATCTAATCCTTAAACCCATGTGGAGTAGTTGACATTTGACAGATGGAAAAACCAAATCATGTGGAAGTTAAATGACTTGCCAAAGACAAAGAGCTCTTTGGTGATAGAGCTGTTGGTAAAACCAAAGTTTTCTAATGTCTGGCCCAATTATAAGACTTCCCAACAAAAGCAGAATTAGAAATGCCTGGTCTAGAGTCAGAGTTCTATGGCAGTTGGGGGCAAAGTGAACGTCTTTGGTTTCATAGAGGAATCCATAAATTAAAAAGGCAACAAGAACCACAACTCTAGATTTTCCTTGGCCCCCTTGGGACATGAACGTTATAAGAACCTTCTTAGTCAAAAGTCATATAGGTCAGAAGCTGTGGGTAGAATTCCTGAGTCCTCATAGATCTTTGTGTTACAAGAGTGTTGTGATAATATCTAGAGCCAGTATTTAGTTGGCAAAAAAAAACTGAAGTGCAAAGTTTGTGACAGAATACAATTTCCATTTTCTAGAACATGAGTACACCACCACACCACCGTGTTTCTTTGTCAATCATCCCCTCCCCTTTTCCCCATCCCTTCTTTCCGTCCTCCTCAGTTTCATTTTTCCATTGATAGTTTTAGATCCTGACGTAATGTCACCACTGCGGGTAGCCTGTGTTTCAGTGAACCTGAAGCCATCCTTAGGGCAGGGCCAGACAACCCCTGGGCACCCCTGACTCACAAATTACTCACAGAGGTCCCTCCTGGTTGTTTCCTTCTGGAAAAATGGCCCTGGTGTTCCGTCCTTCCAGGCATGCCTGAGCAGAAGCACATGACTTGTGCAAGGCCTCCTCTGAGCTTCCAAAAGTAAAGAGAGAAAAAAAGTCTGAATCAGAGGTTGTTAACGTCCCAGATTCCTGAGAGCAGTTTCCGTGTTCTAGAAGGTTTTGCAGTTTCTCTGTCCTTCATTCCCAACTCTCCCCAGTTTTTCTCTAGCCAGCACATTCCATAACCAGAGTACAGTCAATGCTTTCTTGTTTTTGCCCTCGTCACAGTTAAAAATCATGGTTAAGAATTTTCTTATCAAAATTATTCCATCTCTTGTAGACATTCAAGTGTTACAGCTAGGTCTAAGTCAAGCTCCCTTTTGGCTTTTTGGAAAAATGCCCAGTATCTCCTTCTTGAAACCTTGAGCTCCTATTAAAAGGCCCAGGAACACAGTTCCTGAACCTGACTTGGGAAGAGAATGGGAAGCGAATTCACCTGGTTAGCTCACGGTCACCGACATGTCCTGTACTGTCCAGGAGACTAGCTCTGCCTGCTGCTATGAGGCCCCTATTCCTGCACAATCCTGTCATTCTTCGTAGAAGAAATTCCAGATGGTCTTTTCAATTCCAGTATTTTAAAGCCAGAGACTACCAAGGCAATGCCCTCTGAGATTTGGGAGACAAGACCCATATATATGTAGATTAGAATTTTGGGTGTTAAGTCTCAAATTTCACATTACTAATTTCAATGCCACCTAAATTCTAAACTTGTTATTTCCCTTTATTTTATTTATTTCATATCTTTTATGTCCTTTCATGATTCGATTTCATAATCCTCAATTCCAATTCACAAGACTTTTTTTTCCTGCCTACATCAGTCATTAATCTTTGGAGGCCCATTTTCCACCAGCTCCTGAATGTCTGTCTACTCTCCTGCTGTCTGGTTTCAAAATCAAATTCTGAAGCATATATCCAAAGCATCGATATATCTGAATCCTTTACAGATTACTGAACAGTCTCCAGAACAAGTCGTGTCCTAATGAAACTGAAAATAGTTGTTCAAAATTGCACTGAGAGGAAAGATACCAGTTTAAAAACCTGAACTTATGCAAATGTGTTAATATGTCCATTTGACCAATAATTTCAATTTCACGACCTTCAAAACATGAGCAGAACATAGCAGAAAGGGTGCAAACCTCTTAAGAAATCGTCTAAGGTTCAAATTCTGGCTAAGTTTGAAATTCTACTTCTATTGCTTACTCACTCTCTGACCTTGGGTAGTTTTTTTAACTATCAAATGGAAACTAGATAATAACATATACCCCAAAGGGGTGTTTTGAAAAATTAAATAAAATTACATATGCAAACTGCCTAAAATGGTGCCTGGCAAAAAGTCAGTGACTTATTAATGTTATTGTCATTAATCTCAGAAAATTCCTGTAAGTTTATTGTTTCTGTTTCTTCTTTATTTGCTTTACTATAATTAAAAATCCATCTCATTCTTTCCATCACATCAGACTAGATTTTTGCTTTTGAGAATTCCGGTATTAGTAATTATATTTTGGTATATTTTATAGAGTCCACAGTAAGAATTTAGAGCCAATCATATTATAGTAAGGTAAGTCTACCCATTTTTTTTAACTTTTTTTTGCTCCCTGAAAAACAAAGATGCTTTTCTTTAGACTTATTTTGTATACATGCAAATATAGTCCTTGTTGTATTTGAAAGTGACCATGGATTTTGCAAAGCAAAATATTCCACTGCTAAACACGAGTGCAACGTAGGAAGACTTCAGCACTTGTTCTCCCAAGCTTAGTGAGGAGCAAGACACTTACAGAGTTGAGTGTCTCATGAAGCCTGTCAAATTATCTCTTGACAGTTTTCCAAAAATGATAATAATTTTTTAAAAATCCAGCAATCCCTCTCCATCTCCCAGCCCTGCTTCCCTCTGGTTTTGCTGCACCCTCAGGCAAGCCCGCTGCGGGTGGCTGCCAGAGCTCCAGGAGGCCTCCTGGAGACCCAGATTCAGTGGAAGAGCAGTCACATCCCTTTCTGGGCAGCTCGAGTTATTTCGGCAGGGGAGGGAGAGCAGATGCCAGGCAGGCAGAGGAGCAAGGGCGCACCGCAGAAAGTCTCGTAAGCCTGCGTCAAGATGAAATGGTAGCACATGGGTTTCAGAATAGGTCAGTTTTCAGAGTTTCCAGTTCATCATTCCCCAAACCTACATCTAATTTCTCACCTTCAGGCCTTACATCACTCTCCTGTGGCAATGCTTCCTGACTGTCAAAACCTTTTCCATGAAAAGATAAGTCACAAATGACTAGTAGACAGTTCTTCTTCTGTTTGGGCAACGGTTTATAAATATCCATTTACAGTGGCTTATTCTCTTTGTGTACAGCTTTCATATCACTTCTGAATCTATCAAACCATATTGAATTAAAATAACACAAACCATATAAATTAAAATAACAAGATGTCATTTTCTCCTGTCGAATTCACTAGAATTTTTAATGTTCATTCTATGATAAACAAAGTAAGTAATAATAGCTTATTAGGCAAATGGTGCTGGGACATTGATAAATGACTTAAGAACAACAACAACAAAAACTCCATAAAAATAAATCCCGGGGGGAGGGGAATAGCTCAATGGTAAAGCTTGTGCTTAGCACGCACAAGGTCCTGGGTTCAATTCCCAGTACCTACATTAAAAAAAAAAAAAAAAAAGATCCTGATCCCACACCTAATTCTAAAAGAAATTACTAATACTTTTACAAAGTTAAATGTGAAAAAATGAATCCAAAGAGAAGTAGGAGGAAATATAAGGTTAATAATTATGTGTGTTCTAAGGGTAGGGAAGGCTTTCCTAAACATAAGTCTAATGATAGAAATTATACATAAAAGAATTTATTAATTGGATTAGAGAAAAAGGAGTAAGTCCTATATATCAGAAAAGAATTTTAACTTTATGACAAAAATGAACTGGACAAAATATTTCTAACATAACTGTTATCAATTGGAAATTTTTATTCATCAGATTCACAAGGGAACTAATTCTCCCTACCTTAAGCCCCCAAAAACAGCTGCCAAAAGAGAAAATGATCTATTCCTGTGAGAACTGTGCCTGGCAAGGAAGGTTACAAGTCAAGTGTGCAAGGACTGAGCAGTTTTTAAAACTCCAAGAGGACTGTGATAGTGAGGAGAGACCATGAAGAGAGGGTAATATTTTTAATAATTACCATAAGCAAAAAACTTTGGAAAGAGGCAGAAATATCTAAAAGGAATTAGAAAGGGACAGATTGGGATTTCAAAATGTAGAATAGATAAACAATATTATACTGTATAGCACAGGGAAATATATACAAAATCTTGTGGTAGCTCACAGTGAAAAAAAAATGTGACAATGAATATATATATGTTCACGTATAACTGAAAAATTGTGCTCTACACTGGAATTTGACACAATATTGTAAAATGATTATAACTCAATAAAAATGTTAAATGAATGAATGAATGAATAAATAAATAAATAAATAAATAAAAGAAATTAGAAAGCTTTTCCTATACTGTATAAATAGAGAAAAAGCAACAGGAAATAGAGTAGAAAAGTGGTTGCCAGGGGCTGGGGTGATGGAAAAAAAAAAAGGGAGAGGTGGTTAGTCAAGGGTAGAAACTTTAATTGTAAGATGTATAAAATCTGAGGACCTAAATAGTAAACCTTGGTGACTACAGTTCTCTATTGTTTAATTGGAGTCTGCTGAAAGACTGGAACTTAAATGTTCTCACCGTCCCCACCCCCCAAAAAAGGTACATATGTGAGGCGATAGAGTGTTAATTAACTTGGTGGGGGAATCTTTTGTATGTATATCAAATCATCACATTATATTCTTAAAATGTCTTACAATTTTATTTGTCAATTATAGCTCATTAACTGGGTGAGGGAGGAAATGGAATATTTAAAATGCCATGTCCCATAATACTCAAATAGTATTAAACTCCTTAAAGCATTAATTCAATTTAGAATGCATTTCCTACATGTTTGTATTTAAAATCCTCATTTCTGCATACTTGGAATAGCCAGTTCTTGTATTTTGAAGATTAGTCTTAATTCACAATATTTTTTGCTTTGCTTCTTAGGTACCAGCAAAGGCCAAACATCTTACTCAACAATGTCCCTGCCACCGCCTCCACCATCCCATCTGGCCAGCCAACCACCATTGCCAGCATCTTACCCAACACAATCACCAGTTCCAAGTCTACCTCCCAGAAACATTAAACCTCCCTTAGATCTCAAGTAAGCAAAAGATTATCTTGCTATTTCTTTGTCAATCTCTTGCCATGGATTTTCAAACTATGCTTGGCTGAATGCAGAGGGTTCCATGGTAAACTGATGGAGCCACAAGGGGGGCGGTTGGCAGGGAGAAGGAAGGACGGAGCAGGCTGCTCTCACACCTCCATACCCTTGAACAACTGTTATTTATTTGTTTTTAATGGTGGTTTTCTCCTTAAGAGTTCATTTGAAGACAATTTCCAATGCCTGTTTAGAAGTTCTGAAGCATTTTTCAGGTCAGCACCACTGTCTCCTTCACCATCACATCATCATTATCACCACCACCACCACCACCGTTATCATCATCACCATTATCACTACCGCCAATATCATCATCACTGTCATCATCACCATCACCACCACCACCACCATTATCATCACCAACACCACTACCACCACCATATTTTACTGACCGCCTATGATGTTCTAGGCACTTCACATAAGTAATCACTATAGCCTTATGGACTGGAGACTGTTGTCATCATTTCACAGATGGGTAAATGGAACTTTACAAACTTCACAGAAGCTAAGTAACTTCTCCAAGATCACACAGAATGTATATTGGAAAGGTGAGCCGATGTCAGTCTGAATCCAAAGTAAATGCGTGCTTTTAACCACTCTGCTAAATAACCTCCTTTAAGTAAAAAATGCAGGTTTTCTCTGAATCTTCAGATTTTTGGCTGTGTATTTAAAAACTAGGAAACACTTATTCAAGCCCACTCTCACTTTTCTTAGATTGTACTTTTTAGAAATGTTAAAACTGTATGGGCTATTATATATGGGCTCTTTATCCATGACTTACCAGAATAGCTGCTTGAGGAAAAAGCAAGCAGAGGTTGGAATGGAATGAAATGTTGTTTCAAAAAGAAATATTCAGACAGTGACAAACATACCTCCTTACAAATCACAGTAGGTCTTCCCTCTATTGCTTTGCGTGATTCTCCTTGACCACAAATAAGTAGGATCCCGAAAATATTGAGCTACAGTTTGTTTTTCCTTCACTTCAGTCCCCTACCAGATGGATGTTCATTACATTTAAAGCACTTAATATCCATAATCCATATAATAGAATCTGTTAATGTCAATATCTGGTTGACAGCTTTCCTTTGATGCTGTTGATTACAATTTAGACTAGGGGTTGAAAACAACTTGACATGGATAGCTACCACTATACTTCACTTTGTTATGCTTTTTTGGGAGGAGGAGCATGGATTAAAGGCATAACTCCAACTAACTAGAAGGTGTTAGAGCAGCTTAGTGGCTATTATCTTATATAAAACCTGCATTGTGCATTTATATTAACCACATGCCCTTCCAGGCATTTGAGTTTATGACATCCAGTTACCAAATACAGGTGTAAGCCATCTGCCTACAAACACATAAGTGCCGAATAAATATTTGTGTCATTTGTTTCTATATACACTTGATTTCTGTGTAAATTACTTTCCTTTCATATGTATTAAATCGTGTGTCTTTTTCCTAATTTTTTTCCTATTCTGATGAACTTGACCCATTAGATTTTAACCTTAGTACTTTGGAACTTTATCACATGACTCTATCCCAGCTACTAGCTCCCAGGAGGCTTCAGAATCCTGTCTAATTCTAGAGATAAATTTCAATAAATACCTTGAGCATGAGATCCTGATCACTCATAAGACATAAAGACTAGTAACTATTTGATTGAAGAAATGGAGAGGAGGAGTGTTGGACACAAGTCCTGCTATCTGGGGAGCCCTCAAGACCACCCAGATCCACTCAGTGGACGCGTGGGTCTCAGTGTGTGATGGTGCTCATGGCTAAGATTTATCGCAGTCACACTCTTCTTCTGAACCTGGGAGTAGACAAAGTCAGACTGCTCCTTTCTCCAGCTACAAAAATGCAATACATGTGTAATGTTGCATCCGAAGGAAGCCCATTAGAGGCAGCTTTTTGCTGAGAGCTGGCACCTACACACCTATCTTCTGCCTAGCAACTACCAAAATACCCAGACTTCTGAAAGGAACGCGAGTATTTACCATAAGTCACGTGGTTTGTACAGTCCAAGCACAGCAAAGGACTCATCATTCGGCAACTTTTCCTATCTGTTCAGGGAATGCTTTAGGAGCTGAATTTCCAGATACAAGCTGACAGCCAATCTTGTTAGCAGATTCTTTTAAAAAGAGCAGCTTCAGGCCTTCTCTGTTAACTCTTTCCTGTAAACCTCTTCCCTTAGAATCCATTGTGATAAAGCGAGGGCTAAAAATTTAGCAGGAAGAAAGCATTTCAAAAACAGTCCTATAACCTGGACCAAACATCATATGGATGTTGGTCAGTTTCCCACCTTTGCAGGAAATTCTTGTGAAGTTGAAAAGGGCCTGCTAACCAGCCAAGCTCAAATTCTTACTTGTTATATTGTTTTCATAAGAAATTAGTACAAGCCACCAACTGTAATAAACTTTACTTCATTCCTATTTCCTTCTTATTGAGAACTCCTAATTAGAGAGTCTGATTCATCTTAGAGTTACCAACTCCTCAAAATGCACACTCTCCGAACAAAAAAGGTGGGAAGAAACCAGAATCTTAAATGCTACATTGCCTAGATAAGCTAGAGTTGGAGTATCTGGAAGTTAATTGTCAGATGGGGAGAACACAGAGAATGAAATCTAAGGGACATCTATAACATTTTTTTCCCCAAAAAGTAAAAATGTGATGGATAGTGAAAGATACTGAAGCTCCCATCAGAGAGCTCAAGGAAAATCCGAAATGAAGAAATATGTGGGTTGGAAACTTTTGCCCAAGTAGGGGAAGCTAGATAAAACACAAAGAGGAAATGAAAGTAAAATAGGTCTTGATATTCAGACTTACAAATTTATATTTCATGTGAGAGGGAAATTTATGGGATGATCTTTAGGTAAAATTGTGAAAGATCAGTGTTTCTGTGTTTTTCCTCATGCTACCAGCCTTCCAAACTCATACATGGGTGTTCCCAGGTGCTCCCTCTGCATCCTGCAAACGTGGCTCCTCCATCCCCCACCGCAAATCACTGGCCACGCTCGGGTCAAGATCTAATAGGTTTTTTTAATTCATGCAATAATTAATAGTAATCATCCCCTACTTTGTGTCTTTCTAGGAAGAATTCAGGGAATATCAGAGAATAAAATAAAGATGGTTGCCCACATAAAACGGGGTGAGAGGCATAAGGAATAAAAATAATAAACAGGTGAAGGATATAGTATGTTAGGAACTATCAAGTGCTCTGGGAGAAAACAGAGCAGGGTTAAGTGGTGTCATTTGAGGGTGAGCTGGGGACAGCATGTTGCAACTTTAAAGAGAGAGGTGGGGGTAGCTCCCTTTATGGGAAGTTATGCTTGAGCAAAGACTCAAGGAAGTGAAGGAGTTAGGTATGCAGATATCTGGAGGAAGACCATTCCAGAATGTTCAAGGACCCGGAAGCAGGGAGCCTGGGCTGGAGTAGATGAACAAGAGAAGGATAGTGGAAAACACTCAGCTCGTGCAGGACCCTGCAGGTCACGACAGAGACCGCTCCTAAGTGAAACGGGAAGCACTGAAAGAGCCTGAGCAGAGCAGTGAGGTTTTCTGACTTATGTTTTATAAATATCACCTGAACAGCTGTCTGAAAAGAGACAGGAGGCAAACATTGAAGAAGGGAAGCCAGTTAGGCAGATAATGCAGAAATGCAAGCAAGATGTGGAGGTGGCTCTAACTAGGATGGTGCAATGGAGGTGGTGAGAGGGGTCTGGATTCTGGTCTTATTTTAAAGGTAGAGACAACAGAATTTGGATTTGGGGTATGAAAGAAAAAGGGGACCCAAGGTGGCTTCAAGGTTTTTGGGCCCGAGTAACTGCAAGGATGATGTTTCCATCAACTGAAATGGGAGAGGCTGAAGATGAGCAGGTTTGGGGCTGGGGACGGTCAGGAGGGCCTGGCTATGTTAAGCATGTGGTGTCTCTTACACATCCAAGTCTTGGAGTTGTTGAGGAGGCAACTGGGGATAAGAAATGAAGTTTGGGAATGGATTCTGGGTTAAAAATACATATTTGAGCATCAGGGGCATATAAATCCATACTTAAAGCCACGAGACTGTTAAAATCACCAAGGAAGTGAGTAGAGCTCGAGAAGAACCGAGCCCTGGGGCACTCGAGCTCTCCTAGGCCTGGGAGAAGAAAACTCAGTAAAAGAGAATAAAAAAGAGCAACCAAGAAAGTAGGAAAAACCCCGAGTGTAGCGTCCTGGAAGCCAAGTAAAGACAGAATTCCCGGGAGGAGACAGTGATCAGCTGCTAAAGGCCAAATAAGTGAGAAGCGTGGAGGTCAGCGTGGGTGACGTGTGGGGAGTAGCTGGGTTACAGCCTGACTGCAATAGCTTTACAAGCGCCTGGAAGGAGAGGAAATGGAAAGAGCAATTACAGGCGACTGTTTAAAGGAGAAAAAGGAAGCCAGAAAAATGGGGCAGTAACTGGTGAGGAGAGTGGAATTGAGATTTTTTTTTTTTTAAGATGGAAGAAATAACAGCAGGTTTGTATGCTTGTGGGAGAGACAAGCAGGAACGAGGGGGAAATGATGGGGAGAGGGGAGAATTCCCAGAACCAAGGACTAGAACAACCAGGAACTAGCGCTCAGGTGAGGGAGGGACTGGCTTCCCAAGGGCATAAATGGCCGATAAGGCTCACAGTTCTTCGGGGGGGAGGGCCTGTATTGCTTAAGGCAAGAAACCAAATCTCTCATTGGGATCAAAGAATTTCAGGAGATAGCGTGGCCTTGATCACCTGCCTGCTTCCCAGAAGTCACTGGTAATTATGTCATGCAGGTCAGGATGCCTTAAGAATGTGAAGGATTGGAGACAAGTGAGAATTGGAAATAATAAACATCTTTCAACAAAAATAGTTGAGGCTGAAGTTGTATCGTATTTTAAATTGTATTGTTTCCCCACCTAGTGGTCAGAAATCAGCTAGTTCCTTTTTCAGC